CACACTTAGATATGTAAAGTGTCCTGATTGCACACTTAGATATGTAAAGTGTCCTGATTGTACACACTTGCTACACTTAGATATGGCTATATGGACAGATTCGATCCTTAAAAATCCTAGCCACATGGTGCCATTTTCTCATCATGGAAGCAGACAGGCAAAGCAAATCCTCGGTTCAGTTTATGTCTCAAGAAAGTTCAGCTTCAGAATGACTTTCCACAGGTCTCAGGGAACCAGCATGAAGAACTACAGAACGTCAGAAAGCACATCCATTCCTGCTTCACCAACATCTCCTGTTTCCTCCTACCTCATCCTGGCTTAAAGGTAGCTACGAACCCAAACTTTGATGGAAAACTAAAAGGTTTGTCTGCCTTTTACTGAGTTTGTTTGTGTCCCTTATCTGCCCTGGAGTCAGCTCCGCGTGCTTGTGGCTGCTGGCTCAGCTCCTGCACTAATGTGAGGCGGATGACATGATCCCAGCGAGAGAACTGGGGAGCAGGCTTGGTGCTGGAGTTTCCCTTGAGTCAGCTGTGAGAGCCTGCGTCTACCAGCAACAGGCCGCAGCCCTCACCCTCTCACCTCTGCGCTTGGAAACTGCTTCTGTGTGCTTAGTTCCCTGTATTTACAGTAATTCAAATAGAAAAATGTCTGTTTTTGGAATATTGCATTTGTTGAAATACATATTTAGAGACTGAAAGCAAACACTGCATTCAATTCTGAATCCAGGCTCTTTAACTATGGAAGAATTTAACAAATTATAAAAATTTCACTAAAGAATAAAGTCCTCTCCAGAGGAGAACAAGTTTCTCTAAGCAGAATAAAGGCACTGCTTTTCAGCATGTAATCTGCAGGAAGAGGCTGACTCCTACCATTGAACATACCATGAAACGCACACTTTCTTGTCTAACTTACTAACATCATGCCAGGGGTGAGACAGTGACATTACAAATTGTTTTCAGCACAGTTATTGTCAAGGGGATCTTAAATTGCATTTTAAAAATGACAACATAACTTGTATCCAATTTTTAGAAACTACAGCAAAATTGAGCAACAAAAGTCTTTCCCCTTGTGTCCATGGAATTATCTGATGCCTTTATCTTTAATGTTGGCAGTTGATATAATAAGCAGACTTCTAAATTTCTCAGCCACCGGCCTTGCTTTTCTACACCAAGAATCTTCCTGTTTTCTCTGCTTTTCCAGCAGCAGGTGGCAGTGGGCACACGACACATGCATGTGGGTGCCAGAAGCCTGTGATCTCCCTGTTGCTTCTGAACACTAACCTACTAGTGGGCGCATGGCCCTATGAAATGACTGAGGACTTCAGTATGTCTTGAATAAGTTACACAAAGAGCAGGCTTCCATAAAGCCTGTCTTTCTTCTCTGGAACTGGGAGCCATAAACGGGGGTGGGGTTGGTATGCTCAACAAGAGTTCCTTATGAGGAAGGAGGCCGCTGGCCTGGTCCCTTACAGTAGCCAGCAGCTGCAGCCCATACAGTGCGCCAGCTTAGGAAAGGTTAGGAAAAGTTACACAGATATACTTGCCTATTTTGTGATAATTTGTTCCCCATCCAGTTATATCTGTATGTCCACATAGACACTGGCCTGTGCAGTTAACTAAAACCATCTGCTGGTCCAAGTTTGCAGAGTAGCTAGCCCAGGAGACAGAGAAATGAAACTGTTTCAGTTGCCCTGACAGTTCCATTTTAATGAGGTTTGTGTAGCTTATAGAACTTTTGTGCTAAATCTACCTTGTGTACAGAAATGTTCAACTTTTTCTCAGTGTCTGCTTTGGCAATTTTGAAAATCTGTTATCTACAGCATTTTTCCATCCAACACTGAATCTTCTTTTTCTTTTATTGAAAATAGTTTTTTTTTTTTCTCCCATAATATATCCTGATTTTTGGTTTCCCCTCCCTCTGTTCCTCCTAACTCCTCCCCACCTCCCCTCCCATCAGGACCCACCCCCTTTCTGTCTCTCATTAGAAAATAAACAAGCTTCTATGGGATGATAATAAAAAAGATAACGCAAAAACTAACACATCAGAATCAGACAAAAAACAGAAAGGAAAGAGCTGAGGAGAAGGCACAGGAAAGAGATGCTCGTTTTCCCACTTGGGAATCTCATAATATAGACACAAAGGAACTGTAGAGTTAAAGAAAGAAGAAAAAATATATAATTAAAAGAATAAAATAATTTTTTTTAAAAAAGAGGAGCACCGACTTGACCTTATGAGACAAGGACCTGTCAAAGCTGCCACCAAGGTCATTTCTGTCGGCACCCACTGCTGGGCACGCAGCTTCCCTTAGGAGGAGTTTGTTTCCCCAGTGAGACTCCCTTGGAGGAAACCAAATTTTCATTTGAAGAGAGCGTCTGGCTTAGGAATAGGGGCTGTGTCCACTTCGCTTTTCAGCTCCAGGACCCCATCTGGTGCAGACCCTGCAGGCCCTGTGCATGCTGCCTCAGTCGATCCTATTGATTTCCAGGGCCTTATTTTCTTGGTGTCCTCCATCACCTTCCACTCTTTCTGCCTCTTCTTCAAGTGTTCCTGAGCTCTGAGGGGAGGGCTTTGATGGAGACATCCTGTTTAGGGCGAGTGAGCCAAGGCTTCCTACTGTGGCTCTGCTGCTCTTCTCGTCCGCTGGTGGAGGAAGCTTCTCTGACGACTGAGCAAGTGTCATTAGGAGTCGGTTTTTTTTTTCTTGGTCACCCAAGCAGTGTCAGGTATGGTTCCATCTCTTGGAATGGGACTTCAGATATTGGTTGGTTACTCCCACAAACTTAGTGCCAGCATTGCACTGGCATATCTTGCAGCCAGGACACCATTGTAGATTAAAGGGTTTGTGGCAGGGTTGGCAGCGTGGGAGAGTACCTTCCTGTACCAAATGCTAACATGTAGGGAGAAGGCTGTATGGAGGCCAGCCTGCCTTCTGCATGTTCAGTGTGTTGTGCAGGTATTGTCTTCAGCAGTGTGGCCTTGATGTCAGCTTGTGGAGAGCCACCCTTGGCAACCGCCTGAGTTGTTTAGGGGTTCTCATGGGACCCCTTTGGCCATCAACTCAATTAGATGTAACACAGTCAGTACTGGAAACGACATTTGGTGATGACACATGTACATTTGGGGTTCTGCTTCTCCCATTATTAGGCAATTTCATTTAGATCTCCTTCATATATGTGTATATTTTAGGAAGCTTCTCCTGTATTAGGTTCCCGTACTACCCTTCAGATGGCCGTTAATTCTAGCTATCTCTTCCCATAATCCCCCCCCCCCGTCTCCCTCCCCTTTCCCCCTCCTAACTTGGCCCTCCAGTCCAGTCTCCCTCCCATCTGCAACCATCTATTCTCTTTCCGTTTCCTAGGGAGATGTGTTTGTTTCCCCAATACCTTACTCTGTACCTAACCTCTGTGGTTCTATGGATGGTTGCTTGCTTATCATTGACCTAACAGCTAATATCAATACATAAGCAAATCTATACCACATTTCTCTTTCTGGGTCTGTGCTATACTACGCAGGATGAGTTTTTCTAATTCCATCCATTTATCTACAAATTTCATGATTTATTTTTTTTAAATGGCCCAGTTTCCAGTTTCTGGTTATGAATAGAATAGCAAAAAACATGCAGACACTGAATCTTATAATTCGATGACTTTTCCCTGGGTCCCTTATAGGCTAGCCATGGTATTCTTCAGAGAGCTGGCACGAGAGTGGTTGTCTCTAGCAAAGATATGTCTGCAGAATGCCATACTTGTGAAAATGTGTTCTTTTGTAGGAGGTTCTCATGTGCTATTTCACAGGCAGAAATAATTTTCTAGTTCATAATCAACACTAATAATTGTCCTACAAAGGATTGCAATTATCACCATCTTTAATAGCCCCATAAATAATAGTATTTCCAATGTTCTTTAAAATGTTATGATTAATTTAATTGCTAATAATGAAGGAACGTCCTACACTGGACACCAGAGGTCAAAAGTGTTGAGTCGTGTTCATTCACAGTACATTCAACTAGCTTTTACTGAATTGACCACCTCTGCTATCACAGTAAATAGTCTCCTAATCAGCAAGGAGTTGTATAGAGCAATCAGGTAACCACAACATACACTGTGGGGCAGCTTCCTTAGCAGCAGTTATTAGAGTCTAATGCCAATCAAGACAATTCTTTCTTAGAAAGAAAAAGGTATTTCTAGTGACTTGGCAGGTAATCTTGAGAAGTTACCGTCCTTTGTTAGTTTATACTCCAAATCATATACGAGTGGTCCTACTCTGTAGAGCTACTTATAAAACATACATTGTATGGAGTATGTATTTGGTAACTAAGGTAACTACCATGTTGGCCCAGGCCCTGGATTCCCAAGAAGTTTTTGCTGTCCTGAAGCAAAACTTATTGGATAGATGATGAAAATAAAACATCACCTTGAGTGGTCATCCACATATACACATTTACTGGACACTCACAGGACCCTCTGGAGGCTGATCTGAACTTATCTAACCATGTTCCAGACTGAATTTACTGTGGTCAAATAATAATTATTACTCTGTTGTTATTTTCTGAATCCATAGTTAGAATGGTTTTCAGTGGTCCCAAGGAAGGCAGAGATGTCTAGCACTATCTTCAGAGCACATTAGGCCCAAATGTGTTGGTTGCTTTAGTAATAGTTACCTTTCTGGTGTAGTGGACCTAGGTCTATTTTCACTCCATTCCAATTTCATAAGAAAAAGTTTGTGTAGAAGTGTGTGTGTGTGTATTAAAGTGATTTTATAAGAATACCTTATTATATACACATTTAAAAAACTGATATATTCTAGTATTAATAATATTGTAGTAATTATTACTTAGAAACTTATATTGACGTAGTCGCATGCTTCTATAACATGAGCATGCAGGAGGCAGAGACGAGAGCATCCCTGAAAATCAGAGCCCTACATAGTGAGGCCCTAGGTCACAGTCTTGTTATTAACCAAGGTGGACCTCAATGACTGGGCTCAAATGATCCTGAGTCAGCTACACAAGTATTTGGAACTATAGGTGCACACCACCACACCCAGCTTCCCCATTTTTGAGCCTCTACACATAACCATAAGACCCAAAGGTCTCAGACTACATAAAATACTTAAATAGGCTGTAACACTGGGAGGTGGAGCGCACGCCTTTAATTCGAGCACTTGGGAGGCAGAGGCAGGTGAATCTCTGAGTTTTAAGCCAGCATGATCTGCAGAAGTGAGTTCCGGGCCAGCCTGGGCTACACAGAGTTTCAAAAAATCAAAAAAAGGGGGGGCTATAAAATGTTGAACATTTAATGTTAAGGATACATCATAGGTATACGACACATGAGTGGTGATAAGGGCGCTAAGAGTGGACGTGAGTCAAGAAGAACCACGCCCGTAACAGGTCTTCAGAGTTGCTAAGGTACAGGAAAGCCGGTGGTGCCATTTTCCACTGGGGCTAGGGAAATGGAGGTTTCATTCTGTGACACGGAGGATTGGACTGGGTTTTTAAAATAATGGTGAATTTGCTTTCAATTGTAGAAATAGATGACGAATTCATCAAAAACTTGAAAATCCTGATTCCGTGGCTCCTTAGTCCTGAGAGCCTAGATATTAAAGAGATCAATGGGAATAAAATCACCTGCCGAGGTCTGCTGGAGTACTTCAAGGTATCCTTCTCGCTTCTATGCCTCTTGTGAGTCCCTTCCCCTGGCATGCCCTGGGGTATGCATCCTCCACATAGAAACTCTGTGGGGCGAATGGACAAGGCGCCCATAAAAAGGCTTTGAAAAACCATGACACACCTAGAGAAGCAGCTGTCTGAGGAAATAACATCTTCTTGGAAGTAAATTTACCATGTTTTTAACTTGAGGGAACTATACTTTGAAATAAAATGTATCAGAGTTGAACAAACCTTTATCGGAGTGCTTTCCAGAGCCCCCCCATACTGAATTTCACCTTTAAGATTATCCAAAAGCAACTATATTCTCTTCCTGAAAAAGAATTCTTCCAAATTGCTGTGTGCACCAAAGGCAATTTTAGTAGAATTACTTTAAATCTGTATTTACCTCTTAACTTTAATAACACCTAATGCCCTTTGCCAACATAAATATTTAATGAAGAAATTAACCTGATTTGTCAAGTGCTTCAAGATTAAATGTCAGCTTTTAAAATTGATATTTTAACATCTAAAATGCCTTTTTGTGTGATCTTTTTTCCTTCATTTCAACAATGGTTGTATTTGAATTTCTAGTCTAACCCTGTAGATAAGCGCACTGTTTGGACTCATGATCCCTGTGCAGATCAGGTCCATGCAGCCTATGATAAAAGCAGGACACAGACTCACAGAGAGGGAGGCTGCTCCATCAGAGGGAGCTGAGGAAGCTTCTAAGGGAGATGAATTGAACCTTTCTGAAGGGCAGCACTAGCATGTGGCTGTGTATGGAAAGAGCATTACAGAAAGAGGGACTAGCTAAAAAAAAAAAAAAAAAGCAAAGAAATAATAGTTCCTGAAAATATTTTTTTTAATTGTCAAGACCCTAAAATTCAAGTTAACATAAGAAGAGAAATGTTGCATGAAATGCCCGACTCTTTTTCTTTGTTTTACTTCAGGCATACATAAAGATCTATCAAGGTGAAGAGTTACCGCATCCCAAGTCCATGCTACAGGTGCGTATCCATCAGGAGTAATGAGGTTTCAGAGCATCTCCTGAAGGTCACTTGCCTACCCTACCCATGTGTCCATCTGAACGTTCCACACCATACAGCAGCTTTACTTGGGTGGAGATCCACTTTGTATCGAAGACTTTCCCTCCTCTTTGTACTGAGTCTGTTTAGGAACTCACCCTGTCCTGGCTGATGCAATGCTCCCACCGCCGTCATAGGAGACGAGTATACTTTTAAGAAAGTCATCCAAATGACCATTCATTGTAGCATTATGACTTACTGAGTACAAATCTAGGCTGTGTACATCTTAAGAGGTTGGTAATCATGATTGAAACGTAGTGGACACACTCCAGGTTCCTTGATGGGTAGCCCTGGAGCATATCCTGCATGTGATGCTCTGATACAGATGGCTCCACTTTACATTAAAGTGTGCATTTTGTCCCAAGGCCACAGCAGAAGCTAACAATTTAGCAGCCGTTGCAACCGCCAAGGACACGTACAACAAGAAGATGGAGGAGGTAAGAGTTCAGGATTTTAAAACAATCAACAGTATTTCTCCTTCGAACCCATTCTCGAATGTCACATCACACCGTGCGCATATGCAAAGAGGGGACTTTAATGTCACTTAGCTCAGTATGCACGCATCACATGTTCCGTGTTCCTAAGGTACTTTACAAACAGAACATTACATAGTGGGCATGGAAGCTGAGGCAGAAGAACTGCCATGAAAGTGAAGACAACCTGGCCTGTGTACTGAGTTTAGTCCTAGCCTGGGGTACAGTGAAATGAAACCATGTTCAGAAGAAAAAGTTACACACAATGCAGTTTTAAAGGCATTTAAAAATTAGTTCTCTACTAAAAAATATTCTTATTTATGTTTTATTTCGCCAGAACATCTCAGTGGAAGATTTAGTGGCTAAAAATAACACATACTACTCTCTCCACTGTGCATATTTTAATTCTGCAATCTATTATTTCTCTTAAAACTTGTAAGAAAATAAAAGCCAAGCCTCAGGAACCAATATTTTTATGTAATATAGTTCCTCAATTTAGTTTCAACTAATATAAGTATCATTTTCCCCTAAAAAAAATGTTGTAAGATCAAAGTTACATCTAAAATTGATGGACTCTTAATCAAGAGAAATATGGTGTATAAAGGATACTTAGATGTATTATCAATATTAAAACTATAGTGAAAATTGACATGGTTAGTTGAAAATTGCTTTGTAACTTTGTATGTGCATGGGGGGGGGTGCACATGTGCACATGAAGGCCAGTGGAAGCTGTTAAGTACTTTCCTCTAGTGCCCCCTACCTTACTCCTTCAAGAGCGGGTCTCACAGGGAACTAAAAGCTAAACTGGCTGGCCAGTGAGCTTATAGGACCTTACTGTCTCCACCCCTCCATGCTGGAGTACGGGTGTGTGCAGCTGTGCCCTGCTGTTTTCTGTGGTGTTGGGATTTGCGCTCAGGTCCTCATCCTTGCATACGCAATTACTTCTTCCCACTGAGCCATCTCCCCGGCCTACCTTCTAACTTTCTAAAAGCTTGAAAATGTAGTTGAAGAACATACTGTGTACTTCTTCTTACTCTAAGAAAACGTCCAGTTGCCTCCATTCAAAGGAAACTGTGAAACTGCTAAGGAAAATACACCTCATTGTTTGAGAGTTTTATAGTACTGATTAGTATTTTAAATTGAACTTCATTGGTCAAAATTACTTCAGTATAATTTGACTTTTAGAAGAAGTACGATATAAGCAGTTTTTTCAGCTTTGTCTTCATTCTGTTAACAAATAGCTGGCATCTATGTTGGGTCATGTCTTTTTTTTATCTTAAAGAACTTGGTTAAGTCATAGATACTATTTGCTGAATCTTAAAAGAGAGGGGCTGGGCATGGTGGTACACCTTTAACCCCAGCACTCAGGACACAGAAGTAGGTGGATCACTGTGAATTTGAGTTCAGCCTGTCTACGGAGCACGTTCCGTGCCAGTGCTGCAATAGTGCGTAGAGAAAGACAGAGTAAGATTAAGAATGACTAGTTGGGTGGTGGTGACACACGTCTTTAATCCCAGCACTTGGGAGGCAGAGGCAGGTGGAACTCTGAGTTCGAGGACAGCCTGGTGTACACAGTGAGTTCATGGGCTACACAGAGAAACCCTGTCTCGAAAAACAAAACAACAAAACAACAAACAACAAAAACCCCAAACAAAGCAAAACAACAACAAAAATCCTATATAAGCCATTCTACCCGCCACCTTTCATAGTCATGCCTCATGGATATGGGGCAGTTTGAACTGGCAACACATATGCAGCCTTCTTTCTGTCGCTTGACAGACTGTATTTTGAGAAATGCATCATCAAATAATTTTGTCATGCAAACACCACTGTGTACTTAGATAAACCTAGATGTTTTAGGTCACTCACTCAACTTGTCTTCCTGATACAATCAAAAACATAAACGCAAGAGGTATGAGACTGTAGTTAGGATAACAGAATACTATATTACAGTGAACTTCTAGTAAGTAGAAATAAACTCTAAAGTAACGATGGACAGTACAGTGTGTGTCAATGACTGACAGGTTTTGTAGTGTCTGTAATAGTCTATGAACTGCAGGTCGCTCACACTGTCTTTGCCGTGAAGTATCACTAGGGTAAGGGAATGCAGTCTCCCACTGAATTCATCATCCTATGCAGCAATTCCAGCGTGCTCTGAGACAGCCACCTACTAGTGAGAATTCTGGGTACAGCTGGTCATTTACTCCCTGATACATAAACCAACACTTCTCTCTCTGACAGATTTGTGGTGGTGATAAACCATTTCTGGCCCCTAACGACCTGCAGAGCAAGCACCTGCAGCTGAAAGAAGAATCTGTGAAGTTATTCCGAGGGGTGAAGAAGATGGGCGGCGAGGAGTTCAGCCGGCGGTACCTGCAGCAGCTGGAGAGCGAGATAGACGAACTTTACATCCAGTATATCAAGCACAATGATAGCAAAAATATCTTCCATGCAGCTCGCACCCCAGCCACACTGTTTGTCGTCATCTTTATCACGTATGTGATTGCTGGTGTGACTGGGTTCATTGGGCTGGACATCATAGCCAGTTTGTGCAACATGATCATGGGACTGACCCTCATCACCCTGTGCACCTGGGCGTACATCCGCTACTCTGGAGAGTACCGAGAGCTGGGTGCTGTAATCGACCAGGTAGCCGCAGCCTTGTGGGACCAGGTAAGAGTTCTTTTCATTTTCCTCAGATAAATTCTGCTCACATTGTGTAATTAGTGTTTCATTCGATATCAGAAATACACAAGTGAAGATGACTTGGGCCCATTCTTTAAAACTTTACAACACGGCACGATATGAACTACTAAGTACAGTATGTCGTACATGACTGTTTAGTAGGCATTTTAGTATTTAAAACATGTGGGTAAACGGTGTTTTTACTTTCTTATTAAAGGTCTCCATACATTTGTACACTTTAAGTCTTTGAACATTTGTAGTCTAGAGGTAGCTAATAGTATCAGAGCCCCCAGCCCCAGCATGAAGAGCACACTTCTCTGTACTTCACAATAGAAGGGTAACCAATGAGCTATGTGCCTTCAACCAAGCTGAAATAAACTGGTAAGAGCACATGGCAATGACTGCAGCGCCTCTGGGGCCCCAGCTGCTCATTATCTCAAAGTCTCTCAAGGCTAAAGACAGGTTATCTGTGTGAACCTCACAATCCTGGTAGAACGCAATGTTAAAACCTATCGGAAATACAGATTTGGGTTCTTTAAAATATTTTGATAAAATGCGGAATCTAAACTGAAAAATCTTCAGGAGTATTTGTTCTTAATGCTCACAATTGGTATTGCAAATGAAGAAAATTATGTTATTAAGCAAGATATAATACTTTTCTTTCTTTTAAAATTGCCTCTGCCACAGGGAAGCACAAATGAGGTAAGTTAACATTTTTAAATTAAAACATATATTTGTAAATGTGATATTCCTACTTTATAACTGACATTATAGATTATCTTTGAAAATACTTCTCTAAAATGTTTGTATGACTGTTTAACATATCCTAAATATTATGTTGGGTTTAATTTGCTTAGAAGTGTCATTAAAGAGTGCTTGATTTAGTTCCAATGTAGAAAACTTCATGTTTTAAGCTCTAATATGGCATATTTAATTTTCCTATCGTGGTCAAATACTGGACAAGAGGAAACATGCAGGAGCAAAGGTTTAGTTGGCTCAGTTTAAGAAGAGATGGCAACAGAGAAGGCATGGTGGTAGAAGCACGAGGCTGCCGCAGGCAGGGAGCAGAGCGAGGCGGATGCTGGGGCTCAGCACCTTTCTTTTATTCCCTCTGCGATCAGAACTGTTTAAGACAAAGGAAGAGCAGTCAGAGAGTAAGAACTCGGGAAGCTCAACCAGTCACACATGCCAGAGAACTGAAAACACTTTACATTTTAAGATACTGGTTATTGGTCAGTGTGAGTGTTTCAGCTGCGTGCAAGTCTGTATACAGTGTGCATGCAGTAACTAGTGGAGGCCAGAAGAGGGCGTCACGTCCCTTGGGACTGGAGTTACAGGTAGTTGTGAACCACCATGCAGATTCTGGGAATTGAATCCAAGTCCTCTGGAAGATGAGCCAGTGCTCTAACCTGCTGAGCCATCTCTCCAGCCCTCCCTAGGTTTGTGTTTGATAGAGGATGATATAAAGAATATCAGTTCAGGATGAACTCAGAAGATGGCTCAGTGGGTAAACCATTTGCCACCCAAGGGTAAGAACCTGAGTTCAAGTCTCCAATAACCACTTTAAATGCCAGGTAGATGTGGTGGCCCACCTACAATCCCTATGCTTAGAAGGTAGAGATGGAATTTTCTGGGCAAGCTTACTGCTGAGAGACCCTGCCTCATATACAATGTGGAGAGCAATAGAGGAAGACCCCCAACAACTTCTGCCCTTCAGCCATACCTGTGTACATACATACATACACCATATACAAAAATGTCTTTAAAAATATGACTTCAGCATGCTGAATTTTATATAGTACGATAGGGGGAGCGGGGGAAAGTTATACCTGTGTGCTTACTGTTTTGTAACCCTGATTCTTACATCCCAGGCTCTCTACAAGCTCTATAGTGCAGCAGCAACCCACAGACACCTTTATCATCAAGCTTTTCCTGCACCAAAGTCAGAGCCCACTGAGCAACCGGAAAAGAAGAAAATCTAAGTCGATTTCAGTGCATGACCACTTGCCACTTAGCTATCAAAGTCTCTGTTTCCATGCAAACATTCAAAGTGCTTCCTTCTGAGCAGAGTGAAAGCAACACACCCGAGGACTCCAATGGTTCTTTACTCCAGTGACTGATAAGCAGATGTATGTATGCATGGTTATTTGTTAATATGTGCAGTTTCCTGATTTTTTTTTCTTAAAATATGCTGTTATCATTTCAGGTATTTGTAAATCTGAGGACAATAGATGTGTTTTGCTTGACTTTACTAAGTTCTACTCTGGGTTATAATTAAGTATTGTGTGATAGCACTCCAGGTTTGGATATGCTCATTTAATTTCTATAGAAAATTTTAGTTATTTTGCATAGCTATTTGTTAAAGTACAGCATAACTCAGCAGGCTTGATTTAATCTATATAATCTTATACATACCAGAGGCTCTTGAAATATATTTAAGAGCTTAAAAGTTGCTTTACCAAAAACTATACATTGTTTCTTTTATATTTATGACTTAATATAGAATGTAAATCTCTTGATCAAAAATGCACAAAAATTGTTTTGTATGTGTTTGAGTTTCACTGCACTGTCTATTTTTTCATTTAGTACATCAGAAATGTATTCTTCATAGGTTTATTCTTTTAATATGTCAACTATTAAACTTTACTCTGGTTCCTAACAGTAAAACAAATGCTTACTGACTCTAGAACTATCTGGGGGTGCTGATGTGGCTTGAAGGGCTCTCTCCACTTTAATTCAAGATTCATTTCCTTTCTGATACCACTTCATGAGAAGTGTAGGTGTTTAGGATGGCATGACCATACACTATTTCTAATACCATTTCCAACTTAAGAAACATGAGCTAATTGTGTTAGGTTCTTTCCGGTGACTTGGTTTTAAAAAAAAAAAGTTTAATTTTATGGTTTTATATTTTTAGACACAGTTCTGCCTTGCAGCTCAGGCCAGCCTTTAACTGTGATCATCCTGCCTCCCTCCCCAAATCCAGAGCTTACCTGCACGTGCTGCTGTCTGCAGCCTCCTTCCAGTCATGTAAACCAGTGAGTCTGTAATTTAATTCTAATGACTGAAATCTGTATGGAGTTTTATTAAGTAAACCAAACCCCTTAGAAGAAAATAAAAAACGAGGTGGGAGGTGAGTCATGGTGGCACAGTCTTTGATCTCAACACATGAGAGGCAGAGGCAGGTGGATCTCTGTGAACTCGAGGCCAGCCTGGTCTACACCATGAGTTCCAGGACAGCCAGGAACACACAGAGAAACCCTGTCTTGAAAACAAAGAAACAAGGTGGGAGGGGAAAGTAGTAACGGGAGAAAGATAATGCTTCTCACCGATCTGGGAGTCCCCAAACAGGCATTAATTGTCAGTAGTGGTCAACAAAAACATCATAGAGACAGGAGAGACAGGCAGCTCATCAGCTTCGCATCAGTCCGGCCTTCAGCTCAGTAAACTCCCTTTCCCACCAGTCACACTTCAACTTCCCCTTCACCGTAAGGCTTCCTTGGCTGCTGGGCCTTCTGAACAGAAAAGCACCAAACATCGTACTGACTCTAAAACACCAAATTATGACTCAAGGATCAGACGGTTTCCACAAAAATATATTTAATAACTTGTTATATAAAATCAAACACAAAATTTTATCAATAATCCAAACTCACTTCTAACAAGGAGTACTTAAATTTAGGAAAACTAAACTAAAATATATACATATTCACAACACTTGTAAGCACAACTGAAGAGCTAGGAAACTCAGAATTCTAGATTTACAGCTGGAAGTTCCATAAATTTATAAGCCAAAGGCAAGAAAAATGAGGAAGAATGGCCTGTTTCTAAACCTTTATGACAAATACTTCTCTAAGATAGAAAAGACAATATAAAACTTACAAGTGACCAAGAGTTCTTACTGGATCCCTGATTGTCATTTTTGGCAACTTAGCCCAGCCTGGTGCAAGGCAGTGTGCTGTGTGTGGTCAGGAAGCCTGTGTTGTGTCTCACCGGAGCCTTGCTAACTGGAGTTCTGTGCTCTGGCTCAAGGGAAGGAAGCAGTATTAGTAACAGTTGCACACGCCTTCCCCACACAGGCTAAGGCTTTGTGTTTAATGTATTGCTGAAAGGCTCTATGGCCCGCTGCAAAGGTGCCCCTTACAGTAGGGAGGAGGGGGAGGAGATGACCACACACTTTGTATACAAGTCCATCACAATAAAGGTCCCAGCACACCCATGGGAATGGCCGATCCACCTTATTCCAGAAAGTACTTCACACCACAATTAAGTTCTCACCCTCTTCCCTTTTCTGCACAAGAAGGGTGTATTCCGCCAGCAGGAAGAACGACTGTTTGCCAGCACCTGGTTACGATGCTGCTCTCTTCCTGCACTCCTTCTCAAAACTGTCAAAGCAGCTTCTCAATAGACAGCATTGGAAGTGTATACCATATCAGCTCTTTAAATGATAAAACTGCTTTTTGGTTCAATAAAAGAGAAATTTTGGTAACAAAATATATGTAAAACTAGTATTTTCTAATTCCAAAGAGTGAGTTCCTTTATTAACTAAAGTACTTGTTTGCAGTCACTTATCTGGAAATATGTTAAAGCTCTTACAAAACTGGGATGTGATAAAGTTAACTTAGAAACTTCTTGCCATGCTGCTGGGCATACCACTGCTGTCTCTGCTTGCGGTTTTCCAACTCAGTGAGAAGAGCCTGTCTGTAGGCCTCGTACATCTTAACAATCTGCTCCAGTTCCTTCATGAAGAGTAACTTCAGCATTCCCTGGTATGTGTCCAGGTCAGCCAGCTGGAAGAGCTCCCACTTCAAAATGTGGTCATATCTGTCATAAAACAGGGTTCATAAAATACATAAATGTGCATTTACAACAATAAACTGGTACTTTTTATAGACAGTTGTATTATAAGTAAAACTTTTATTTAAAAAATACTTGAGTTAGTAAAACTTGCCATTCAGATACTTTCTTTCGTTTTGAGCCAGGGACCTACGCTGACCTTGACCTCCTGGGCTCAGGGTATCCTCTTGCCTCACCGTCCTCAGTGGCTGGGAATACAGGAGCGTGCTACTGCACGTGGCTCTAAATACACTCCTTTCCACTTCCCTCTCTTTTTAAAATTCATTTACATTTTCTGTGTACCAATGCTTTGCCTGCATGCATGTATGTGCGCTGTGTGCATACCTGGTACCCGAGAAAGCCGGAGAAGACATCAGATGCCCTGAACTGGAGTTTAGACAGTTTTTAAGTTACTATATGGTTCCTGAGAACTGAATCAGGATTCTCTGCAAAAGCAGTAAACACTCTTAACTGCCCTCTCTCCACCCAAAGTACATTTTTTTTTTAATTTGAGAACTTTTTTTTAACTTGAGATTTATTTTTATGTGCATGGGTGTTTTGCCCACACGATGTGTCTGTGCACCACATGCATGCTTGGTGCCCACAAAAGCCAAAAAAGGGCACTGGATCCCCTGGAACTGGAATTTCAGACAGTGGAGAGTGGCTGTGTGGGTGTTGGGAACTGAACCTGGGGCCTTTGCAAGAGCAGCCCGTGGCCTTAACAGCTAAGCTCTCTCTCCAGCTCCAAATACACTATTATTTTTAAGGAAGGGGAAAAAGGTGTTAAATATTGCTTCAGGTTAAAGATTGCCCATCTATTTAAGAATCAATTTTAATATTAGACCTGGGCAACCATTAATATCAACTGCAGACTATAGTGGTTCTGTAATTTCCAAAATCCACATCCTATTACAGTTTTCAGAGTGAATGTCCATTCTTCGAGGAATGTAAACACAAAAAGTCATGTACCTATGTTACGAAGTCATATCTCAAAAGTCACTGCAGGGCAGACAAAAGCAAGCATTAATTACAAACTCTAGATTTATTTTCAATAATTACTTATATCTAATGGGTACATTTGCCATTTTATTCCAAAAGGACTATCTATCTAATATAAAAATATATATGGCTTAAAAAAAAAAAAGATACTGAGTAGCAACTGCAAGCAGCCGTCCTGGGTGGGCACCAGGACCAGCAGAGCCTCAGGACAGCTTCCTAGACCTCTCTTCCACTCTGGCACTGGACGGAAACTTAACTAATTTAGACGGATTTCTTTGCAAAAACCTGGATACTCTCTTTTCTGGGCAACCTAACTCCTCATGAACAGGAACTGAGTTGCACGAAGAAACAGTTAGCTCAAGCATTTCCCAGAACTGCTGCCATTCAGGTCGTTTAATTTACTTATGATATCCCTGAAATAAACTCAGAATTCCTAACAAAGAACTTAATCTCCAAGAGTGTTCTGCTTTGTTTCCTCAGTATGTCAAGCTCTTACCTTGGGTTTTTTTTTGGGGGTGGGGTGGGGGGAGGATATAAATACTACATCAACTTACATGTTAATCTTATAAAAATGTAACAGAAAACAACAATACTAAGCTTGCCCACATTAGCGTTCTGACGTATCCATCACTGGAGGTCTGCACACAAGGTGATGAGGATTCAGACATCTCTGAAGAATTCTGACTTCTAGTCAAAGAGTCAAACTTTGTAAGCTCCGATAGCCTTTCTTAAATGTTACATAAAAGTCCAATATTATAAGAAAAGCATGATACTTCTTTACCTTTTTTTTTTTCCAAGACAGGGTTTCTCTGTGTAGCCCTGGCTGTCTTAGAACTATGTAGACCCCACTGGCCCCAAACTCAGAGGTCCACCTGCCTCTGCCTCCCAAAAGCTGGGATTACAGGTCGGCACCACCACTGCCCAGCTAAGCATGGTACTTCTTAAGCCTGTTAAGAGACCCCAAAGATACTGGTGCTGTGTGCTCACTTACTTCACTGGAGCTCGGGCGTAAACCTGAAGCCAGTCAGGAATTTCTGCAGTATGGTAAGGATTTGCAGGGACCAGGAGGGACTGATTTCTTTCAGTTTGCTGTGGCTGGTATGTGATGGGAGGAGGCTGATCATACCGAGGGACACTGAGAAGAAAGAATTCACATTTATTAAAACAGAAGCCCTTCACCTAGGTCAGAAATTATGATGACTATACAACTTTTAAGGCTTTTTAATGTGCTTTTTGGCCAAACCAAAATCTTCCACCTAACAGAACTTTCTATAAGGGTATGAGTATTTTTTTTAACTATACCGTACGGACATATACTCCATCATCTTTTGGAAGCAGATATGCTGCTAGTAATAGATAAACACCCAAGTTAAGGTGGGTGGGGTGGATAGGGATGGGCTAGAGGCAGCTTCTATTGTAGCCTGCCTCAAACCCTGGGCCTGGTTCCCACCCAGGTGCCTTCTCTCCCTTACTTATTCCTCAGCCCCTCTGGTGCCTGGCCCTTTGGCACAGAGATCCTCCTTGCCCCCGCCCCCACCCAGCCACTCTCTGCATTCCCAACTCCAGCACTTCGGTTGGCAGTCAGGCCTGACCTACACACGAACGGGATATGTTGAGAACTAGGTTGCTCCTAAGGACGTGGGGTGGGTTGAGGGTCGGGTGCCAATCCCAGAGTTACCTGAGCCAAGAGACCAAGGTGCCAAGGTATGGGGATGCCTCCCACCCCATCCTCATCCTATATGCTTTGAGCTAAGATATGAAGGAATAACACTTAATAGCTAACCAGGCAGAATAGTTAAAAGAGGAAGAACCCATGAATACTTCCCAGTGTAGCTCACACAGAACACTACAAGACACTGATAGAGGCAGGCCTCCCACAGAAGGTGGCAGAAAGGCTTGATGAAATGTTTCAAACAGGGCTGGCAGCATATGTTGATCTTGATAAAAGTGCAACCAATGCTCCTGAAATTTAATGAAGAAGGCGTTGTCTACACTACAGTAGTCCGAGGATGCACTATCTCATGTTCAGGGGACAAAGATTTTCTGTGGCATAAGCCCAAACCAAAAGTCTTCTCTCACCATTTTATACAAGGGTGCATTTTTATGTGGAATTATGAAGACCTAAAGCAAAGAGAGAACCAGGACAAGGTGCAAGAGTCCACAAAGGAGTCCGATGAAGCAAAGGTCAAGGCCTTGCTTGAGAAGATGGTTTATACTCTGAATGTAAGCACAGGACAAAGGAAGTATGGTGGCCCCCCACCAGACAGTGTGTACTCAGGTGTGCAACATGGAATTGAAACAGAGGTCTTCATAGGTAAAATTCAAGAGACTTGTGTGTGGATGAGTTGGTATCCCTTTGTAAGAAAGCTGGTCCTATCTGGGATCTATAGATCTATCTGGTTCTGTCTCATGATGGACCCACTCTGGTCAGGACAGAGGATATGCGTTTCTCACCTTCTGGGGAAGGAAGCTGCCCCAGCAGCAGTTAAACTGTGTGAGAGCTATGAAATTTGTCCTGGCAAACACCTGGGAGTGTGCATTTCTGTGGCAAACAACAGACTTTCCAAAGAATATGACTAAAGAAACCATTCTGGGAGAGTTTAGTAAAGTCACAGATTTTACAGAGGGTTTGGTGGACATTATTCTCTATCATCAACCTGATGACAAAAAAATGAAGATCACAAGTCAGCGCATAAGCCAGACAATGAGGATGAGTGGAAAAGTTAAACTATGGGGAGATGTAGTTAGCAATTTGTGGTGGTTTTCAATAGGTATGGCCTCCACAGACTTAGATTTGAGTGCTTGGTCCCACCAGGGAGTGGCACTATAGGAGATATGGCCTTGTTGGAGTAGGTGTGGCTTTGATGGAGGAAGTGTGTCACTAGGAGGACAAGCCCAGTGTCTCTCTTCCTCCTGCCTGCTGATCCAGATGTAGAACTCTCAGCTAGCTACCTCTCCAGCACCATGTCTGCGTCTGCCTGCCACCATGTTTCCCAACATGATGGTAACGAACTAAACCTCGGGACTGTAAGACAGCCCCAATTAAATGTTTTTCTTTATAAGAGTGGCTGGGTAATATTCTCTTCACAGCAATAGGACATTGACTAAATCACAGCTGAATGGGCTGACCCTGTGAAGAACCAGATTCAAAAGTCATGGCTAATGTGAAGTTTTATTTGTGAAAACTTGGTTACTACAAAGATGGAAGAAATATTGGAAAAGTCATTTTCTGAGTTTGGAAAGCTGGAATGAAGAAGTCAAAGATTATGCATTTCTTCATTTTGAAAACAGAAGAGCTACTCTTGAGGTTATGATTGAAGTGAATGGAAAAGCAGCAGAAGGGGAAGGATTGAAACGTCTCAGCTAAGCCACCAGAGAAGAACAGGAAAGAGTGTCAAGCCGGCTAGGCCTCCAGAAGTGCTACATATGATGATTACTCCAAATAAGATGCTGAGGCCATGGTGAGGGGAGGGGCAGATATGACTGCCCTCCATATCTACCCTTTCATACTACTGCGATGATTACTGTGGTTATGATTATCACAGCTATCGTAGAGGATACAAAGATCCCTACTGCGGCTATGCTGATGATTATGCAGTGAGAGGAAGAGGAGGAGGGAGAGGGTAAGGTGTTACCCCACCACTAAGGAGGCCCGGGAGCACCATGTCTATGAGGTAGAACTAGCTATTCATGGGGAGTGGGTGTTGTGGAATATTATTTTAAGATGTGTTACATTTGTTTATGCTGTGGAATGCAAAGATATGCTGCATCTGTTTAACTCCGTGAAGCTGTGTTACTTTGCCTGTCTGAAACACCTGATTGGTCTAATAAAGAGCTGAACAGCCAATAGCAAGGCAGGAGAAAAGGACAGGCAGGACTGGCAGGCAGAATAAATAGAAGGAGAGATCTGGGGAGAGAAGATAGAGAAGCAAGAAAAGGAGGAGAGGAGGACTTCAAGGGCCAGCTATTCAGCCAGCCATGGAGTAAGAAGTAAAAGAAATACAGAAATAGAGAAAAACAAAAGCCCAGAGGCAAAAGGTAGATGGAATAATCTACGTTAAGAAAGTTGGCCACAAAGAAGTCAACCTAAGGCTGGGCAGTTATAAGTAATACGTCTCTGTGTGATTATTTGGAAGCTGGATGGTGGGCCCCCAAAGAGTAAAAGAGTTAAAAAAAAAAAACAAAAAACAACAACAACAACAACAAGGGGGCATATTTATGACCACCAAGAGACTCAAGAAGTGGCAGAGGGGGTCGTGTGGAACAGCAGAGAGGCCACGGTCCTTGTGGGACCCGAGACTCTGAGGGGGCAATGTAGGAGGCAGGAAAAAAGGAGATGGATACAACCAGCCTGACTCCAGGTGTCCTCAGGCCAACAACCAACAGAACTGGTGCTCCTAACCTAGAGCTCAGCAGATCAGCAAGGTGCTAACTATTCTGTTAGCTATGGTAACAAAAATGACGACCAAGAATTTTATCAGGATATTTAGAGGCAACAGTGGAAGGAGACAAGTGAGAGCCCCAAAGGACACTGCAGGGTATGATTGGCTCTAGATCTACATTCTTCAAAACAAAACTGGCTTAACTGTTTCGTCTTGGAAGTAGTAGTTTGCTGCCAATTGTACTCAGGTGAAGAAATCATTATTGTGTACATACTCCAGGCCTTTTATTTTTTCTTCTTTCCATAAATGCTCTTGGACATTATTGGGCTCGCAGAGTTCACTTATTATGGGGTTATAATGCTTTTATTGTTCCAGGCTTCATTTTAGCTTCGATACAATCTTTAAATCAGAACCTTTGGTTTGGACAGTTTTATTTTCCTGGATTCGGAACAGATTTCATGAGTGTAGGAAGTATGCTGTAAATAAAGGTACAGCTAGTGCTCTGCCTTAGTAGTCTTAAGAAAGGAAATCGAACAGACTTAAGGCTTTCTGTATTGGAAATAAGCTATGTCTGTACAATTAGCATCCCTAGAGCAGGTCAACCATTTTTAAATTGTTACAATTTCAGACATTTTTGAAGTCTGCTCTACAAAATTTATTTGGCTTATATATCAAAGCCATGATAGTTTGTTCTTCATGTATTGTATTTCCAATTTCTTGTTCATGTGAAATTTTAATAAAACTCAAAAATCTAAAAAAACAAGTAACAACAACATAAACCAAGTTAAACCTTCCCTATTTCAAGACATTCCTTCTGGTTGTATTCATTCTTTTTAAGGACAGCTTCAAAGGTGAAAAAAGGCTAGTCTTAGTTTTAACCTTTATACAAGGCTTATATTATAGGCACAGATTTCTGCAAATAACTCGTTATTTGCCAACATATACATTGGGAAGGTCTATAACTTTTCTCAAAACAAAAGAGAATTGTTTTCTCTTTCCTGCTAACTGAAAAGGTGAGGTTGGGGTATATAGTGCAGCAGGACTGGGCACTGTGCCAGGTTAGGAAAGCAACTGGGAGTTGCCTAGAGCCTACTTTAAATCATAGAGAATTAAAAAGGATCATGTTTCAATTAGCACTAACAGCCTGTGTAAGCTGAGCGGGGAGGAACAGTTGTACAGGACTGAGCTGTTTGTTAAGGTGCAAAGTACTCAACACCTGCGGCTACAGAGTGAATTCTGGGGCACCAGACTGAGCTACTTCAGGCAAGAAGACAAAACAAATGAATCTGCCTCTAAACATAAAGGATGTGAATATAAAAAAGGTCACTGCTTGCTTAACTGGCATTAAAATAAGGTCTAGATTATGCTATGGTTAACGGTCCATTTATTTTAAGGTTATTTATATTCATGTCTGTGTGTGTGTGTGCGCGCACACACATACAGGAGTGGAGTGCCTGTGGAGGCCTGAAGTGGGTGTCAGATACCCTGGAGCTAGAGTTACAGGCCACCATACAGACCCCTGACAGCGGCTCTGGGAACCAAACTCAGGACCTCTGAAAAAGCAAGTGTTCATGATGACTGAGTCATTGCTCCAACTCTATCATTTTAAAGATAACATGAAAATTGCAGTAATTATATCTTCAACATTTTTAATAAGTGGGTCCAAAGGGAAATGGTAATTGATACCATATGCTTTGAAATCAAATATGCCTATGTTTTGAGATAAGATCTCAATATACAGCCCTATCTAGAACTCTCTATGTAGACCACGCTGGCCTTAACTCCCAAGTACTAAGACTGAAGGTGTAAGTGACCGTGCCCAGCCTGTGTTTTTAATCATCTACAATTTGTATGAAATGTAGGAGAACTGCCTTACTGTACTTTACTTCTACCTCCTGATTTGTAAAAGTGGACAATAAATTCTTATCACAGATGACTTTTCCCAAGAGCTAATGGACTGATGTCTGAGTTGCAGGTTCTGTATAAAGACTGTCATATGATCCAACTGATATTATTGCTACTCTGAACTCTGAGTGCTGACTTTCTGAGAGGACAGTTTGGAAAACTTTACAAACCATCAACATGTTACAATAATATCGGGTGCAAGAAAGAGGGTGGCCTTCCCAACCTGGCTGGAAGACTGCTACTGTGGGACAGCAGACCACACCACGGGCTCAGCTCTTCAACAACTTCATGAAGCCACTCAATAAAGCTGGCTACATGCTACCAAATGTAAATCATTGGAAAAAACACTTTCAAGGTTGAGTCACTAAATATAAAAATGTAAAATCTTTAAAGCAACACACTGATGTTAATCCTGTTTGGAATTAGCCTTGGTAACTCTAAAATGTATTCTCATGAATTTAATGTTTCTTAAAATTATGATCCATCATAACCAACAAATTGCACTAGGTCAGATGACCCTAGGTAGTATCTATCAATGTGCTTATGGCATTTTACCACTAGTACTCAGTTCTTGCAGCTTAAACATGATTAATGTGAAATATTTGTTTCTTCACTATTAAGTTAATACAGTTTTATATGTATTTTGAAGTACAGTGTCTATTTTTCACTCACAGCAATCTCAACTGGATTAACCAAGTTTCAACTGCTCAATAGCCACACATGACAAGTGGCTACTATACTAGATAACACAAGGCTTAAAGTATCATTCAGAACAGCCCAAGAATTGCTGGTTGTATGTACTAAGAAGCTAGACTGTTCCATTCCAACATGAAATTGTGTCAGAAGTTGACTAAAAACAAGAAGATGATGTCAAAGTTTTGAAGTATATTCTGACTTACTAGGAGGTGGGTCTACCTGATGGGAATTTAAGATGAACAAACAGATGATTATTAACTTTAATTTCTGGGTATCTACAACAAAAGACTTCTGACATCTCTTCTAGTTGGAATCTGATCACAAAGACATTTGTTTCAGGTTTCTCAGAGAGAAAATATTTTTAAAATTTAATTATTAAAATCATTCATTACTAAAATATTCCTAGGATAAATATCAATTCGAGAAATAACTATTTAAAATCTCAAGCTTCAAGATGCTTATCTCTTCATAGACCAAAATCTAATACAGGATGCTCTCCAAACAGAAAGTCGGAAATGAAGCAGCTACTTTACCTGGGGGCACAGGGGTGCCTGTATTGAGCCCTTTTATTTGTGTGATCCACATAATAGGTTCCAAATTCTGATGACTCGACGCGTTCCCATCCAGGAGGAAGCCCTTCTCGTTCAAGAGGATGACTCCAGTGAGTTGTGTTTGTATTGTGATCTATGTAGTACTTTCTCCCTCTCATTGTCCAGTCCACAGACCAGCCAGGGGGAAGGGGGAAATCTTCAGATCCATGGTTAGTTAAATTCCCTAAAGATGTAGCAGCAACTCTCCCAATACCTGAAGAGAAAAGAAAATGGAACAAGTTTTCAATTATCTGTTAAAATTTATGATTATCTCAGTATAAAATTTTCACAGCATTAGTCATTACTGTTAAATTAGCAGGAGAAAGTAGAACTGGATTTTGAAATGAATACAAGTTTTGGTTTGTTTGAATCTTCTGTCACCAGGGCACAGGAATACTTAAATATTTACACAACTAAAGGAAAAGTAAAGACAGAAAAAAAATCTCAATCAAGATTTAAGATCTGACATTTCATCTAAAAAATAAAAGGAAAGAAAAAAATAAGCTTGTAAACCCATTCTCAGATTTTTAATTTTTAATCTAGCTATGCCCTAGAATTATTAAGTAAGATTATCAAGGCAAGTCATACAGTCAACATGCCTGACCACAACTAGAATAGGAGTTAATGAAATAACAATACTTATAATGGCTCTTAAAAATCAAAAAGTCAAGTTTCCACTTAAGTGATGTGTTTTTAAAATATATATCAGATATTTTATATCTTTGGCTAAGCAAAATGTTTAACTTTAGGGAATGGCAATACACTTATTTTTCAGCTCCTCTGAAATTATACTGACAATATGCTGAAGAGTCAGAATCCCCTGCTCAGATTAGAAGAACAGTGTTTCTTTCAATCATTTTAGTATCTGTGTAAATAGCAACAACAAAAAATAATTTAGAAGAAATAATAAAATTAAGGTATACTTCTATTTAAACTCTGAAATTCTAAAGGATGCGATATAAATTTATAAATAAATATTGGTTACTGGCAGGCATTTTAAAAACTGTATTCACTTAACAGATAACATAGTGGTAAATGCAGAAGGTTAGTCACTGCAGCATAGTCTATAGAAGGCTAAAAATGAGCCAACATTGACAAAGTAGATGATTATACTACTGGATGCATAGGTCAGAGCAGAGTGCTGGGCTGCACAGCCACACATGAAGATACTCTCTACTTCTTCTACCCTGAGAGATTAAGAGTAGAAAGACAGTCAGGCATGGTGACTCTTGCCAATAATCCCAGCACTAGGGAGAAGAAAGAATGCCACAGGTTTGAGATAAACCTAGGCTGCACAGTGAGCTCTGGGCCAGCTTGGACTAGAGAGAGAGAGACCCTGTCTTCCACTTCTCTATCCTCCCCAAACAAAGAAGTGAAAAAGTGCAGGCAATATGCTTCCTTTTTATAGTCATACTTAAACCAATAATGGGCCCCACCGTCCCAGGCTCCTGGTATTCACCTGTCCTTGTGAGCAATAGTTTATGGCAGAAAGGGTGGTACATGACTTGTGATACTAAGATACAAAAGACCATACAGCTTCTGTCCCTGCCAAGCTCATGTGCTTCCCCTTGGACCACTTGGGAAAACCAGCTGCTTTAATGTCATAAATAGTGCATTAATGAGGAACTGAGGCCTCCAGCTAAAATTAAAGCCTCTTTTTACCAGCTTCAGGAGTAGTCTCTAAACTATGTATCTAAGGACATGGTAGTTATAGCCCCGATGAAGCCCTACAACTTCATGAGCGGCCCCGAGTCAGAAGCACACAGCTGAGCTGCAGCTGACATCCAACCCACCTAAACTCAAATGTTTGTTGTTACTGAGTTTAGAGTAAAACATACCAAAAAAAATCAATAGAGATGAGAAAAAATAAGTATATGCACACATACATGTATTTATACCTATTTTCATAAAATATTAAAATGTAACACTACAACAGAAATGAAACTGGTTATTTCTAGAAGGAAGGATAATGATAGGAATGATTTTGTACCCCTGGATGGCCTAAACTATACAAACCAGACTGGCCTCAAACTCAGAGAATTGCCTGCCCCTGTCTGCAGAGTTCTGGGATTAAAGGTGGACAAATGAGTTGCATTTGAATTGTCATTGTAACAAACTATTTTCAGTATGAAAAATATCTGCAAACATGGCAACACAATGTGAATATATAAAATATAGTATCACATAGCAACACTCAACATGCTTAAAGATGGTGAATTTTATGTTTCATATGTTCTACAATGAATTTTTTAAAGCAAAAAGTAAATATCTAGGATCTTCACTTAAATCACCAATAGTGTAATGTAGGGGAATATTATCCTCAGGTGTGTGACCTTAGTTTACACTGCGTTTGTTTAACTCTGAAGCTGTGCTACTGTGCCTGTCTAAAACACCTGGTGGTCTAATAAAGAGATGAATGGCCAATAGCGAGGTAGGAGAAAGGATAGGCAGGGCTGGCAGGCACAGAGTACACAGAGAAGGAGAAATCTAGGAGAAGAAAGAGGAGCAAGAGAACAAGGAGAGAAGGAAACTAGGGCTAACCAGCCACCCAGCCACCCAGCCAGTCACAGAGTAAGAAAGATAAAAGCCCTGAGGCAAAAGGTAGTGGGGATAATTTAAGAATAGGTGGCTAGAAACAAGCCAAGTTAAGGCCAGGCAGTCATAACTAAGAATAAGCCTTCCTGTGTGATTTGAGAGATGGGTGGCAGGCCCCTCAAAAAGCCAAAAGAGTAAAACATTATACAACAGTACAAATTGATGAAACTGTTTCTAGAACAAATACCCAAATGTCTTTCCTAGATTTGCACACTGAGAATTCTGGAAGCAATAATCCATCCAGTACCAGCAAATCCCAATACTATGAAGCTAATCCCTAAGAAAAGGAACAAGAGTCCCTTGAGGGCTCATTGAATCAATGAGATTCAATTCAGATTGTAAGTCTGAAACATCCAACCACTCTAGCACATTAGAAGACCAATGGAGACTAATCTCATGGGATGAGTGTCTACCTGGAGCAGTTCAAACAAGAGAACTGCCCACTATAGCAATATAGTAACTAAAATCTACAAGTTCATGATGAAAAAACAACTTCTCCCAAGTCTGGGGGCAGCAATCACGTGTGCTTAACATTCTGAAGTCTCAGAACTATTAAAAAGTAAAATATGGAAGTCATCTCAAAAATTTCTAATATTCAAAGTTGGAACAACTTAGACAACAAATGACTCAAAATCACATTGCAACCCAAATTATAAAATAAACACATATAGGTATGACATAAACTACAAAATGAGAAAAGAGGAGAGAAAACTTACTTAATGGAAAAATTCACATGTGAGGATACTTACAGAAGAACTGCACAGATTACATATCCCCACCCCAACAGGGAAAGCGCAATATACTTGCCCTCTTCAAAGTGCATTAGTGTTAGCAACCCCCATCCAAAAAGAAAAAAAAAGAAAAAAGAAAAAAGGGGGTAAAAGAGTAAAGTCCAGTGGAGAAATCCTCCATAGGAATAGCACAAGGATATTGTGTACCTCTTTACACACTAGATTTTTTTTTCTTTCTCTTCTTCATGTCTCTTCCCTTCTCTCCTTCATCCTCTACCTCTCAAAGTCAGTAAAATAAGCTCAATCTAATCAGGAGAAAAATATCCAATAAAAGTCATATTGAGAGGCTCTATAAAATGTCTAACATGAACGCAACAACACCATCAGGACCACAGAAAATAAAATAACTGAGAAAGTGGCAGAGGCCACAGAAGGCTACAGAGACATGAATGTATATTGGAACAGGAGATGGATATTAATAAAAAACCTAGTTAAACCTTGGAACAAATCTTGAAATTAAAAGAGTTATCTATTAGGTCATGAAGATGCCCCGTTAAAAAAAAATCATTACTTATCTTTGGAAGTGGCTGGGGTACCACTTCATTACTCTGAAAAATCGTAAATAAAAGATCTAGTGTTTACCCCATCTTTCCTACATGAATAACCATCAAAGTACTTATAAAAGAAAACTCTTTTAGAACTCCAACTAATAAATCGGAAGAAATGATACTGTTTGTACAAAAAGGATCACTAATGACTTCCAAAACCAACAGGTAAGTTTGGTGGAGTCCTTCCTGGTGAGTAAACCAGGCTGACAGGGAGACCATGGCCTAACTTAACATCACAAAGAGAGAAACCAGTCCTAACACATGGATGATGCACACAATACCACATCCATGAGGAACACCAGCAAAAAGATTCATTATCATTCCACATGAAGGAAAAAAGGTTCCAGAGTTATTTTACCAAACACCACAGTGTAGGAGCAAATGATGAACATTACTAACCATATCATCTTAACAACAAAATATCAATTATACTCTTCAAAGAAAAACAAGCAAGCCACCAATTTTAATCAGTATGGAAAAAAGAGCTTCAGCTTCTGAGCTACAACTTTAAAAAAAAAATCAGCCTTTCATAATTTAAATTAGTGTCAGAAAATAGTAACTGACATTTATTCGTAAATAAACAGCTTCTATTTGTATGGCTGCACTGTACAAATATAAATAAACTAAATATAAATAAACTAAGCATTCACAAGCTAAGGACAAGAGTTTCCAGGAAGGATCAACCCATACTCTGTCTTTACAAAGCTTCACTGGGTATGCCTTCAAAAACCTTACCAACCAGGAAGCTGCCTAAGACTTAACATGTGCAAATCTTAAAAATTCTGGTTTCCAAATTCAGTACCTAAAGATAGTAAAATGGATTCTGGAATGCTGAGTTCCATAAGTACCACAGTAACAGATACCAAATACCACATTCTGTGTCATATTAGGATGCTGAGAAATTGAACTAAGACAATTGCTGCTTCTCTTGCTTGACAAAGATAAAGCTGTATCAGCTTCCACAAGGTGATTCTAGTTAACAAATGCTTGCACATTTACTTGAATACAAATTTAGTACTTTTAAATAAACTCTGATAATAAACTTTCAGTTTAATTTCTTATAATTTTTATTTCTTTAGTGATCTTTAAAACCTTATAAAAACAGGTTTAGAACAAACTAATCAATTCAGCTAGACTGGCCAGTCAGCAAGGTTCAGAGATCCACTGGTCTCTGGGGGTAAAAGTACTTCCTACTAAGCCCTAAGTTTGATTCTCAGGACCCACAAGGTGGAAGGAGAGAACCAATTCCTGCAAGTTTGTACACAGACGTATACGTGTACACACACACACACACAAACACGCTGTGCTGGCTAGTTTTATGTCAACTTGACACAAGCTAGAGTCATCAGAAAGGAGGGAGTCTCAGTTGAGAAAATGCCTCTCTATAAGAGGCGGCTGTCTGCAAGCCTGTAGGGCATTTTCTTAGTGATTGATGGGGGAGGTCTCAGCCCATTATGGGTGGTGTCTTCCCTGGGCTGGTGGTCCTGAGTTCTATAAGAAAGCAAGCTGAGCCAGACATGCAGCACTCTTCCATGGCCTCTACCTCAGCTTCCCCTCCACGTTTCTGTCCTTTGAGTTCCTGCTCTCACTTCCTTTGACGATGATATAAAATTGTAAGCCAAATAAACCTTTCCTCCCTAGGTTGCTTTGATCATGGTATTTTATCATATCAACAGTAACCCAAACTAAGACAGATGTAATTTTAAAAATTAGCCACTTGGTGTTTACACACCTTTAATCCCAGCACTCGGGAGGCCAGCCTGGTCTACATACCGAGTTCGAGTTCCAGAGCAGCCAGAACTACACACAGAAAATCCCTGTCTCGAAAAACAAAAACAAACAAAAAAAAAGACATTTTTTTTTAAACACAAGAGACTCAGAATGGAAGGAAGTCTACTTACAGTAAAAGCAAATGTTGGTTAAAACCTAAAATCAAATCTTACTTTTTAATTATTTTTCAACAGTGTTTTTCTGTGTAACCCTGGCTGTCCTGAAACTCATTCTGCAGACCAGGTTGTCCTCAAACTCACAGAGATCTGCCTCCCAAATGCTGGGATGAAAGGTCCACACCACCACACCCAGTTACTTTTAAGATAATATTCTATTTGGAAAAATGCCCAATTAACTTGTACTTTCTTTGTATGTGTATTGCATATATAGTGCACATACAATACTGTGGTTGTGTATACATGCACACAGGTACACGTTCATGTTGTGAGGCTTAGATCAGGGGCCTTTTCTTCACTTGCTCTCTAAATTTATTTTTGGAGACAGTGTCTCTCAGTGAATCTGAAGCTCATGGTTTCAGCTAGGCTGGTTGGCCAATGAGCTTCAGGGATCCATGTATCTCTGCCTCAACCCCACTGCTGGGTTACAGGAGCAGGCCACCATTCCTGGCAAGCCTCTAGTGATGGGACTCAGGTCCTCATGCTTGCTCAGCTGACAGTGTAGGGACTGAGATATCTCCCAGACCTTGTACTTTCTGTGATTGGGAAATTGTTTTAAAATCTGCCTTCATCACAAAAAACATGTATGACTGTTCCATTTCCTCAATGATACTTTACAAATCAGAATTTTAAAGTGAGATTTCAACTTGGTATTTCATTTCTCCATATTTAAAAGACAGAAAGTTAGCCGGGCAGTGGTAGCATACACCTTCAATCCCAGCACTCGGGAAGCAGAGGCAGGTGGATCTCTGTGAGGACAGCCTAGCCTACACAGTAAGTTCCAGGACAGGCTCCAAAGTTGCACAGAGAAACCCTGTCTCAAAAAACCAACTAACCAAATAAACAAGAAAATAAGATATAGAAAGCCTGGATAAAACAATTGCAGGTAGAGTTTCCCTTATCCAGATGCTTGTGACAATGGAGTTCTGGATTTTGGAATTGGTGTAGTATAATATCCTGGACAGAGCCCCATGTCTGAACATCAATTTCATGTAGTTTTTCTCTTGTAAAAGCAGTCTGAAGATAATTTCACATAGTATTTTCTGTGCAGCTGTCATTTTGGCAATGAACTATGAGGGCTTACTCCTGTAATCCCAGCACTAGGAAGCCAGAGGCAGGAAGATCATTCAAACTAACAAGTTTGAAGCTAGTTTGGGCTACATAGTAAATTCCAGACTAGCCTAGGCTATACAGTGAGACTGTGTCTTAAAACACCCACATGAACGCACACGCAAAACTATTTTTAAAAAAAACTGCCTCAGTATAGTGTCATGTTCATGCTCAAAAACCTTTGACTTTTGGAGCGCTTCACAGGCCAGATCTCTGGAACTGGACAATCCACCCGTCTGAGCTATCACTGATGCTGCCATACACATGGGAAAGTGAGTGCAAAGAACTCAACAAAGCAGCTATTCCCATGTTTCTCAACCTTTGAGGTGGAATAACCCTTTCACAGCAATCACCTAGGACCATCAAAAACATACGTATTTATATTACGATTTATTACAGCAGCAAAATTACAGCTATGAAGAGGCAAAGAAGTACTTTATGGTTGGGGTCACCACAACATGAGAACTGCATTACAAAGGTCGCAGCATTGGGAAGGTTGAGAAATGCAGGTCCACACTAACAATAAACACAGCTGTTACTTCTGCTCTCCTTCAGCTGGCAAACTCTGTCATCAGTCTCCAGATCTGAAACCTCGGAGCTCGCTTCATTTCCTTTATTAGCACATCCTGTGTACCAGCGTGCTTTGCTAACCATATCTGACTCTTCTTTTTCCCCCATCTCTCCAGCTCTATTAGGGCCCCTGTTCTATGAATTTGGTGTGTCCTACTTTTCCTTTGTCCCTTCCAATGTCTGAAGTAGGGTCTCGTTAATTTGTTTTAAAATATTGGCCACTGGGGACTAGAGAGATAGCTCAGAGGTTATCGGCACTAGCTGGTCTTGCAGAAGATTTGGGTTCTGTTCCCAAGTCCCACATGGCAGCTGACAACCACTTCTAGGGGATCTGATGCTCTTTTAGATCTTGAGGGCAGTGAACCACTTGCATGCCTAGTGCCTGCAGGACAGAAGAAGGTATCAAATCCCCCCAACTAGAGCTAAAGGATTGTGAGCTGCCATGTGGGTACCAGCAAATGAATCCAGTCCTCTGAAGAGCGGCCAGTACTTCTAACCACCGAGCCACCTCCCCAGACATTTGACCTTGAAATGTGTATGGTTTCTTTGTTTCAAGTCTCAGCTTTCTGTTGGGCCACGAATCTCCATTTCCCTCTTACATCATATTTCTTAAAATACGTAAGAATATAGTCTCCTAAATGTAAACACACCCTATTCTGTTTGCAATGGGTAGTCTCAATTTTCCACCTAACATGTCTTTCTTCTACCCTGTTAATGTCAAGTTCAAGCTCAAAGGCTACTTCAAATTCTATCTGCTCCTTGGAGCGTATATTCCTGCAAGTATTCCAGTTATACCATCTTTTTTCTGACTGCCCAGTAATACAAAGTATAGCCACTAATTGTTCCAGGACTATTGTGTATGTATATGCTGGTTTTGTCTCCCTAAATAAGGTATCCCAAGAAGATCAAGAAAATGCTAGACACATAATTAATATGAAATGAAGATAATTTTCCTATGGCCAAAACAGTTATATTCCAAATTGTTGAGTCAGTTTATTAGAAGTGTGGCTGTTAAAAAGCCAATCAGCCTCACACATTTATCTTTATCCTGCCAAATTTAGAGCCTACAATTTACTAGGTGGGAAAAGTTTTCTTTGTAGCTTGCACCACTTCATCTACAGTAACTGAGCACTCTAGGAATCAAGCGAAGCTGCCACATCCCTCAACTCCTGGAGGAGCACCTACAGGTCAGAAGGGAAACCAAGTGCAGCTCTGCATCACAGTCAGTATTTCCCGCCTGTTAAAAACGGCATGTTTTACACATAATTAGCCATTTGGTGAGCCTTCTGATCAACCTGAGAAACAGTTATTGACTACAAAATCAGGTTTGGAGAAAAAGTGCTAGATCACAAAGCATGCAATTGCCCACAATGTATACCTAGCACAGTCGATTCAACCTCCCTTTTCCTTTCCGAGGTTTAAGACCAATTCACCTACAGACTTCCCTTTCTCATTCTACCAAATCTAAATCTAATTTCAATTTAACTAGAGACATTAAGTTTTTCATGTATTTAAGCCCAAGTGTTAACAGACAAGATGGTCTTGAGATAAGCACCAAGTTTAATATGATGGCACAGTAAACAGATACAGAATTCTGCCATTCATTGTAGGTTAAAAATCACTAGCAAGCAAGCAGAAGCAAGAATGGCAAAATGGAATTTTTTTTTTTTTTGCTTTCCAAGAAAATCCATGGACGATCACCTTTTAAATTAAAATATCAGTAAGTATAAACCAATGTGTTATTTATGATGTCGGGTTACCTGAAGTGTGCCTCCCCTGATTCAGTGGCATTCTTTGGAAGAGATCATGGTTGCAGTCATAGTATCTGTAGTCTTCTGGGGCACGGTCTCCAAGTGGCCGCCTTCTCTGACTATCAAAAAAGTTATCTGAATAAAAGTATCTGGAACCAGAGTCTCCATTTTCAACAGCAAAATTAACTTCTGTTAAAAATGACTGTGATGATCCGTACTCGCGCGGAACATCTGCCAGGCTCCTGACAAGGTACGAGGAAGGGGCAGACAGTCTGTTGCTTTCTCTCCTCAGTACTTCGTGAGGTGTCCTTTGAATTGGAGTTCTCAGAAAACTCTGGTTTCTTGAAACTACTACATCTCCAGAAGCTGAGAAAGCATTAGAGCTTGAATCTGGAAGACAGATGTCAGTCCGTCTGGGGATTGTTGGACCATGTCGGATGAACGAAGGCATGAGATCTGCAATCAAACGAAGAATATCACCATTTCAGTAAATAAGCACTCTTCTTTATTTGTTTATATCAAAATAACAAGGTCTTCAGAAAACAAAATTTAAAGACAATACGTGTACTATTTTCCCTAGCAAATAAATTTATAATCTGCATGAATGTGCTATGTATAGCTCAGCTATTGCCATACATAATATGAGACAATGTCAGTAAGGCTGAAAATTATCTAACAAATCAATGCAGTCACCAGCATCACGTATGACTACAGTTTGGTTTTCATCTGATTTTAGTATGGCCAAGAATCTTTCCTCATGAAAACAAAGTTTCATTACAATAAAAAAAAATGCTTCTCCAAAACAAAGCAGTTTTCTTTTAAAAGATTTTTAAATTAATAGTTCTGTCTTTCTGTTCTCAGAATTACCCAGTTCTATGTACAATTATCGAAATTAGAAAGCATAACTGTTCAGTGTGGAAACTGCAAAATAACATCATCAGATTCCAGAGATGCACATAAATGTTCAATCTACTGAAAACAGTAAGCCTGGAACCATGGCTCCTTTAACAATAGAGAACTCAAAACAAGACAATGGATTGCTGAAAACAGAATTAGCAATTGAACAGCTCAGATTTTCTTAAATAGAAAGCAAATGCCTTAACAACAGGAGAAAACCTGGATATGGAGCACATTTTCTGAATTCATTAAGTAAACGATACTGGAAGGTGCCAGAGGCTAACACTAGATTATCCTAACATTGGAATAATTAACAGTCGACGTCAGAAACTGTATCAAGTATTCACTGAAAGATTCAAAAAATCAACATGTTGCATGATTTCAAGAAATGTTTAATAAACTTTATTTGTA